ATAGATAACAGCACAACATCCCAGAATGCTGGCATCGGCAAACCCATGAATGTGAATCTCGGTAATTGATGCTCTCTCTCGAGGAATGCTTCTTGGGAAGGTTACACACTTGGCAGACTGTCTAACCATCTCTCCCATCGGCTTTTAAGATCTTTGGGCAGCTCAACGTCCCATCCAAGTTTCCGATCGCAAACGTCCCGGAAGATTACTTTCGCCGTGAGTAAATACGGAGCAGCTATACCCAGAGGATCATACAGTTTCGCCATTGTTTGAAGGACTGTTCGTTTGGTCATTTCTACATTCTGTTTCGGTAGTGCTACAAACAAAGTATCTTCCTCCTTGTTCCATCCCAACCCCAGCAGTTTAGTATCAGATGGTTTAGTTCCTAAAGTTTCTTTGGCATAAGTAGATTCGCCGTCTTCCACGATGTCACTCTCTGATTCCACCGCATTAGAATGCCATTTGTGCAACATAAAACTTCCCTCACTAAGAATCTCTTTTGCCTGCTCTTTGAGTACTTTAGTCTCTCCAACTGTGTCACCTCCAATGTTTATATCATCAACATAAGTTCCTTCGGACAATTCTTCAACACACTGTGGGTATTGCTGTGCATACTTCTCGAGGTGAACATTCAAAGTTCCTCCGAGTAGAAATGGACTTGGGCCTAGCCCAAACATCGCTCTGGTCATGCGATAGACCATCATCTCTTTGCGTTGTAGATCATTTATCCATAAAAATCTCATTACATCTCGCTCGATCTCCCTGATCACAATTTGTAGGAATGCTTGTTTTATGTCACCAGCCAAGAGAATTGGTCTCATTCGACTGCGTAATAGTATATCTAGGATTCGCCTTTGGAGTGGGGGACCAATGTCCAAGCAATCATTCAACGAAGGTGATTTTTCATCAGCTTTTGCCGAAGCATCGTAAACAATTCTTACTTTCGTAGACTCGGCATGCTCTCGTACTACAGGCTTGTGTGGGATATAATGCTCTCGGCTTCTCTCTGCTTTCTCTGGTGCGACTTCAATGACTCCTTCCTCAAGTTGATTCTCTATGATACTGTGGTAAGTCTCTAGCAGTTCTGGTTGTTTATCAAGCCGGTTGAATAATGACTGAAATCTCCGCTTAGCAACATGGTAATTGGTCGGAAGCTCTGGATGATTAGCCTTCCATGGTAATGACGTTTCGTATCGACCGTCTTCTCGCTTAGTAAGCTGTTCCTTAAACTCCTGATAAACGCTTCCTTGATCTCCTTCGGCACGATCTTCTAATCCTAGCACATCCAAGCTGCAAAGATGCATGTAGTCTTCTTGAGAGCTTTTGGTGAACATCAGGAAGGAATGATTCATCTCTCGTCCCGGTGACATGATGGTCCATCCCAACGCGGTTTTCTCGGCAACTGGCATCCCATCGTCTCCAACCCTGGCTGGTTCTGATGTCTTGACTCTGGACATATCACTGGCTCCTAAGGTGAACAGGTAGAAGTGCTTTCTCGTCTCCGTCATTCATATGGACTCCTCGAAGATGTTCATAAGTTTTAATAAGTTCCTTGTACCTGGGGTTTGGCAAAGTCATTAGCACATCCTTCTCAATCCGGTTCAACTCACATGGCATCTTGAATTTTCCCTCAACATCTGCAATCTCGACTTCGTACACATCAATTTTCCTTGTTGTAGTTTGGAACATCATCTCAATTGATTTAAATTCCTGTCTCACTGGCTTTTTTCCAATTGTATTCAATAATGTACTTGACGCGAAAGAGCTCCCAGATCCAGTATCTAAAAGTGCTCGACACTTAACTCCTTCAATCTCGACTACAACAACTGGATAAACAACATCATTTCCATTGGGTTGGCACATCAGCTTTTGACCATCTTCTAGTTTATCACAAATAGAAGTATGGTGTCTTCGCTTGCAGTTATAACACTGGATCCTACTTCTACAATCACTTGCTCTATGCTTCTCGTCTGTGCAATTAAAACACAGATGCTTGCTGCTTAACAATTTCTTTCGGTCACTTGCACTCACAACTTTATCGCACTCTACCGATCTGTGACTTTTGCTTTCACAATACACACACTGTCTAGATTGTTCCTTTGCTAACAATAATCTATCTTTCCTACCGTCTTTCCATGGTGATCCATCTTTCTTCGCATCTTTCTCACTTTGTTGTATTGGGTTTCGCTCAATCCATTGTCGCAATGCTTCAACCAACTCAGGGAAGGTCCACTTTTTCCACTCTGGCGAGGTTCTTGTTAGGTCAGCCCGAATCCCTTCCAACTTATCCAATGTCATCCTTACATTTCCCGCAACATCGCCTAGTTTTCCGAATGTTTCAAGCGCTTGAACGTGTCCGACAAGATTGTCATAAAAGTTATGTATCTTTTGTTTTGAAGCACCATTAATGGTAGGTAGGGAAATAATTTCTTGTATGTGTGCATTGACCACCTCACTTGTATCACCATACCGTTCCTTTAACATCTTTTTCGCTTTTGCATACCCTTCGGTGCTGAGTGGTAATTTATCGATTGTAACCCTAACTTTAGATACAACATGCTCTTTCAAATATGCAAACTTTGCTTCATCATTCATAGGTGCTCTATCAATTTGGGTCTCAAATAAACCCCAGAACCGCACCCAGTCCAAATGACTTCCTTGAAATTTTGATATTTGCAGATCAGGTAATTTTGTTTTGATCCGTTTTGCAGAAGCAATCTCCAACTTCTTTTCTTCCAAAGATAATGCAAACTTTTCCTCCCTTGCACGCTTTTCAAATTCTGCCTGTTCTTCCTCATGTCTTATTAGAGCTCGTGCTTCCACTTCTTGTCGAATTTTCTCTTGGCGCTCAATTTCCCTTTGTATTTTCTCTTCGTCTAAGAGCCTACGATTTAACTCTTCGATTGCCGCTTCATATTCACGTAATCTGCCATTATTTTCGCTTGTCCACTCGTCAATAGTTTCGTCAGATTCGCCTGCATCGATTTTCAAGCATTGTATAAGCTCAATCAAACCATACGCTTCGCTTACCTTGGTTTTTAGCGTTGTTTGTTGTCGTATTATCGCCTCTTTCGAATTCACTCTCAAAATCTCGTCTGTTGCTCGGTTAAAATATGCTAATTTCCGTAGTAAAGACTGTAAGTTAACCAGTTTCGACTCAGTTTCCTTGGATAAACCCGATTGCTGTTCGTCTTGGGCTTCAAGATCTCTTCGCTGACTTTGTTGTCTCGTCACCATAGCTCGATTTTGTAGTCAAAATACTTCCTCAAACCCCGATAAACTCTCGATAAATTCCCGATAAATTCACAAGTTACAAGTCCAAATAATCCCGGTCGAAGGTGCCACTTTGTGGTGAAGTTTAGTTTGGTTCCCACAATCGGTTCGAAGAAGTAAAGACTTTATAATATCACGTTTTGTTTAAGTTATAATTCCCGTTCTAAAGTCAACGCTCGCTCACATGTTATGTACTATATCCGAAGTGTCAATCAAATTGTACATTTCCTTAATAATATTAACACTACTGATCTATAAATGTAACTGTATAAACGTTCACGACAACACATTCCTTGTCATTTGAACCAACAGTATCCTACCTGACAGCTGTCTTATTGAGTTTTCCTGCACCAAAATGCTTTACAGGCCTTTCTTTTCTATATTCCCTATACTCTTTAGAAAAACATTTGTTCCTTCCACCGTAGGTAGCATATGCATGCATGCCCATCTCAACGATTTAGTCGTTATATGTGACTGTATATACGACTTTGACATGTATAGAGTATCTGCACACCCCTAAGAAGTATCTGCACACCCCTTCTTTCTCCCTTATTACCAGCGCGAGCCAGTGTCCACGCCTTTATAAAGTGGCCAGAGTTACACTGCTGTACTATAGAGCAATCAGCACAGACAACAAGAGGTTGTGCGCCCACATGGTGTACCAGATTTCTAACCCAGACGATATAGTTAGTCTTGAGACAACTACTGAGAAAAAGTATGAAGATGATTGGTCGCCAGGATGATCCTAAATGTCTTCACCCATCATGCGACAGAACACCAGGCCATAAGCCATAAGGGAAATTGTGAACGAACGACAACCGACGCTGAGCAAGTTCTAACAACTAAGCCACTGCCCAAAATTTGATGTGGATAAAACGAAACTGCGTTACCGTCAAATTATATTGATGTAAAATACTATATATAGTTCTCATCAATAAAAGTAACGAAGTACAATTGTGCAAGTATATTTTAAATTTTACATTAAATTTGATAGTTGATGCAAAATCTATTTTATCTATATATTTTTTAAACAGCTTGATCACTGTGCCTCTTTGGAAAACCTTAGAACGATCGAAGGAAAACCAAATTATAAATTTATTGAGGTAAAGCTAGTCAATTAATATAATGGTATAGTGAGTCAATTTAATAAATTCGTGCTGTCGTATATAGATCTAATATTGACATTCATGCTGAGCATCTCATCTTAATCATTAGTCGTAACAAGTTCTCATATGTATATAGAACTCTGCCATTTCCACTTTCAGTTTATATTTTTCTTTTAGGGAGATATATGTGAGGCAACTTACATGAAGTATTTATTCCAATCAGAGAAAATTGATGTTGTCATGCACTTTGCTGCCCAATCACATGTAGGTACTGTCACTTTCACTTGTTTGTCTTATAGTAGTGAATAAAGTAGTCCCTCCTTATCGTGTATCATTGTATTTTCACCCACTTCACCAATAGTAATACTAATATTTCTCCGACTGTCCTTCCATAACTTGAATGATTTCTGTTGGTTGGTTTGGCAAAATATTTTTGCATACATGTAAATCCAGACTAATATGTATAATGATTTTTTTGTACAGTATAAGTCCATCGTTTTTCATAACCTTTAATTTTATAAAATATCATTTCGTCCAATTAGTAAAAGGTAATTGTGTGAACCAGGGCTCGAATTTTATCGCGGCAATTGCCGTAGAGGGAGAATAAAATGCCGTGGATCATTGCGGCAACGACGGCAATTTTTTGCCGTATAGTGCAATTTTTATACTATTCACTGTGCATTACTACTTTGATACTTGAATTCAGATGTTGCGTAAATCTTTATTTTAGTCTCAGTTTTCTTCGAAAAGAAAATACTAAAGAAATACGTAGACATGTTTCTAGCTTGTCAAAAATCCAAACTATAACAATAAAATTAAAGTTTTATTGCAGTAATTTGAAAAATGCCGTGGAAACTGCCAAAATTGCCGTAGCTGCATGTACAGCTGCATGTTATATGTTCTACGGCAATTTTTAACGCCATTGCCGCGTCCATTAATTTCAGGGAAATTCGACGCCTATGGTGTGAACTATAAGTATAACTGAGAATACTGTTAAATAGGTCAAATATTCTATGACTATAATTATCGGAATGTGGTGAAACATGTCTATATATGCTGTACATAATATGCTACCTATAGATTTTGCTTAACCTGTACGCTAATACGTTGTCTTGTATATTTGTTTTGTATATTTTGTTCGAGATTTTGTTTATTTGGAGTAAATCCATGCCTAACGCAGCCCTATACCAATATTATTGTTCATTCAAGATAAATCATTTTGGAGTTCCCTTGAGTTTACGAAAACCAACGTGTATGGTACACATGTACTAGTGAATGCAGCGTTTGAAGCAAATGTTCAACGTTTTATTCATGTTAGTACTGACGAGGTTTATGGTGGAAAATCTGACAGTGTAAGTACTAGCAACCACTGTGCATTTAGAAGTTGTTTAATTGACGTGTATGCTTTAAAAAGAGACATGAGCTTTCCCGTGCTTACTTCTCAAACCCTTAATAAATATATCGAACGCTGCATACCTTGTCATAAATATACCACGTCGATCCATGCATAAATTAGTCAACTTTTGCGTTAAATACTGGCTAGTGATCGTTTGAGTAGTTTTTTCATACATTCTACATGATTCATGAGGTAGTCAGGCAAGACATACAATTACTTAGTTTTTAAGCAAAATTTTTCTCTCAGGTATTAATCGAGTCATCTCCATTTCGACCTTGTAATCCTTACTCAGCATCCAAAGCGGCTGCCGAATGTATAGTCATGTCATACTGGGAGAGCTTTAAGGTTAGTACTTGAGTAAGTTGTTTTAAAATTTTAATATTTCAGTTTTAATATTTAGTGCTGTAATGTCAGCGAAGTGCATTCTATATGTATAAGGATTAAGGGACAGAGAAAATATCCAAATTAGAGCGGTGTCCTTGATGACGTCACGTTCAACGCCACTTTCGGAAAGCTTGAAGAATCACTGTCCAAAATCCAGAGTTCGTATAATCTGCTCTTGTATATCATAGGCATTTGTTGGTGTTTTGTCAAAACATAGAAAACTGTTCGTAATAGAGAGGTGTTTATATTAAAATTGGTGTGATAAGGATAGGTTCGACTCTTTTTATTAACAACGAGGTATATATTGTAGAACCTAGTTTTCAGTGCATTTGAGCTGTCACAAGACTTAATAACATCTTGTTGTCTGATTTGTACGGCAATAGGGGCATTTACATTTGTATTCATGACAATGCTTACTATTCAGTATTCTTTCTGTTTACAGTTTCCCGTCATTATTACTCGGAGTAATAACGTTTATGGACCCCATTCTCATCCTGAGAAGGTTTGCTTTATACGTTGTACTGTACAAGACCTCCGTATATAAATAGCTGAGGTTTTTAATGTTTCTTTTTGCCATGCATTTATAATAATGTAGTAAAAGAAATATGCAGATAATGGTTGATTCGAGCTATAGATTAAATTTTGATCAAGGCAAGAAGAACGAAATCCAACACCACAGCTAGAAAGAGCGTCTTAGAATGAGTAAAACTGCAAAGATTGGTTGCTAAATGTTGTAAAATGAAGGAAATATAGCCCTGTGAAGTTCGCAAATTTTGTATATATTTGTATTACGCGCAGTAAAAATAACCACTTTCGGCTAAAAAAAAATGGTTATTTTTCCCGCGCGTATAATGCAAATATATACAAAATTTGCGAACTTCACAGGGCTATATTTTCCTCATTTTACAACAATTCGCAACCAAACTTTGCAATTTTACTCATTTGAAGATGCTCTTTCCAGCTCTGGTAATGGATTTGTTCTTCTTGTCTAGATCAAAATTTCATCTATACCTGGACTCATCAATTGAATAAACAAGATTTTGATCAAAACCTTTACTATCCAGTTCTTTAATTGTCATACATATTTATTGCATGATCCTGTAATTTGGAAGTGGCCAACCATTTTCTACATGCACTTGAGCTATATTTATCAACATGTGTGATGTGTCACCACATCACGCTACCACATGCTAGCTACAGTATGTAACCAATCCACAGACAAGATGGTTACTTGAATGGAAACTAAAGTGTTTTAGTGAATTAGTTAGCCTCATTCTAGTAACCTTTTGTCTCTGGGTTGGTTATATACTGTAGCTAACATGTGGTAGCTTGATTAAGACCATGCATGCAGGTGAATGTTCTTCATGGAGCACCATAATTATTTCATTCTAGGTAGTACCCAAGTTTATAGCTTTGTTACAAAGGGATAGAAAATGGTAAGCGCTTTACTTTAGCTGACAACCAAGGTCTGTTCTTATATAGACTTCTTTCGCACGTACACGTTACAGTAATAATATTTTGTTCAGCATGTTATTTGCTTACAATTCGTGATATTCTGTTATTGAGTACCGTGTTTCAATGAAGCTAACTTTGTTATAACTGTTTCTCTTTAAAGCTGTGTACATGGCAAGGGAACGCAATCAAGGTATACACTATACATGCTTGTACAATATCAAACCAAATGTTGATTGGACTTCCTCAACTCAAATACGAGTTGACAGTCATGATTCCTAATCACTGATTCCTAATAGGAACATTTTTTGTTACAGAAATTTTCTTTATGTTACCGATGCTGCTGAAGCATTCATTTCAATTTTACATAAAGGTTTTGCAGGTCTGTAGATTGTCTACTACATGAACATTGAACGTTCCCTGAAATTCTGCCGATTAAATCCCAGTCAAGATGAGAGTTGATGATATAGTCAACTCTCATCGACTCTCATTAAATTTTGAGCTGTTTCGAATTTTGATGAGAGTTGATGAGAGTTTTCGCTCGATTGCGTTGAGGAAACTCTCATGCCTATGTGCAAACTCTCGTTTTTCAACTCTCATCGTTTGACCAGGGCTTTAAACGCGAAGGTTTAGTGTACGTATAATAATTCAATTAAGACTGTATAGTCTGTGGAAACTGAAAACAGTATGTGCTCTTCGTATTCATTCTACACTGTTTAAGACGTTCTCATTGCTCTTCTTTACGACTTTAAATTTAAAATTATTTAAAAATAGCAAAAAGACTATATTTTCAGTCAATTTTACTACGAATTATAACCTAATTTGTGTCCGAATTACTTTTCTGTCTAGGCGAAACCTATAATATAGGATCAGATTTTGAAATTTCTGTAGCGGAATTAGCGAAAGATCTTATCAAACGGGTAAATGTTTCGTTTTATATCACAGTTATGACTACTAGACTACTAAACATTTTTGTACTGTACCAAACTTTTAAATATTAATTATACCTTATAATAATTGTACCGAGTTTTTGCTTAGACCAGCCAATATTAATTAATTGATTAGTAGAATTCAGTCGGAAGTTTGTTTGATTTAAAAATAGTTTAGAACTGAAGCTTGAAAATAGTTTAGAACTGATGATTGAAAATAGTTTAGAACTGAAGCTTGAAAATAGTTTAGAACTGAAGCTTGAAAATAGTTTAGAACTGAAGCTTGAAAATAGTTTAGAACTGAAGCTTGAAAATAGTTTAGAACTGAAGCTTGAAAATAGTTTAGAACTGAAGCTTGAAAATAGTTTAGAACTGAAGCTTGAAAATAGTTTAGAACTGAAGCTTGAAAATAGTTTAGAACTGAAGCTTGAAAATAGTTTAGAACTGAAGCTTGAAAATAGTTTAGAACTGAAGCTTCAAAATAGTTTAGAACTGAAGCTTGAAAATAGTTTAGAACTGAAGCTTGAAAATAGTTTAGAACTGAAGCTTGAAAATAGTTTAGAATTGAAGCTTGAAAATAGTTTAGACCTGAAGCTTCAAAATAGTTTAGAACTGAAGCTTCAAAATAGTTTAGAACTGAAGCTTGAAAATAGTTTAGAGCTGAAGCTTGAAAATAGTTTAGAACTGAAGCCTGCAGTGCAGTCACGAGCACATCAAGTTAGTCCTATTGTGGTCTTATAAAAATCTCGCCTTTTTACCATCTGAGTCGATTGACAAAAATTAGCTTTGGATTTAAAGGATTAAAGTCATGATATAAAAAATGAAAAGATGAGAGTTTTATTAATTTTTCTATTTTAGATAAAGAAAGTTAAGACAGACGAAGAAATAGAAGAATATATTGAATATGTGGAAGACAGGTATGAATTACCCGCAACTTATATGCAACCATGAGATTATGAGAACATAGATATACAGTAAAACCTAACGGCCAGTAAGAAGTTACCGACGAAGAGATTGTGGCTATGCACTGCATGCTGTTTATCCGATATTGAAATTCCAACTAAAATTTTAACAAATGCCTACGAATAAATACGTAATATTTAAAGTACTACCAAACAAAAACACACGTTTATATATCACAATGGTCAATGGACCATTTTCAGCCAGATTTTCCAGGCAAAGCCGACTAGCGACACTTACGTCCGTATTCTAAAAGCTCACTCACACTCAATGAGTGGAGGTTCAGCTTCTCTTGAGTGTCAATGCTGTTTTTGAATAGGTGGAGGGTGAGTAGTCACATATTAAGGTACGACACTAACCCTCCAGCTATTCAATAACTGCACTGACTGGCACCTAAGAGAAGCTCAGATTGAACCTCCACTCATTGAGTGTGAGTGAGCTTTTAGAATACGGGTGTTAATCCCAAGCATCGACCATTATTCAGCAGGCGTTTTCCCGCCTTTCTCAAAACGCCCGCAAGTCCCCCCCCCCCCTAAATTCACGCGCCCGCACGGAGTTAGTTAATTAATAACAAAACGCTTGTGGAGGAGGTAGTTTGAAGTATGAGAAACAAATTTTATTCTTTTTGTATTATGCTCATTACTCACTACGTAAAAGGAAACACGTTGATTGAACTTATGTTTCTCAACATATAATCACATGTCATGTAAATAATTTTTCAATTTCTCTAGACCGTTCAATGATCGTCATTATCCAATGGATTCTTCCAAAGTGGAAGCACTAGGATGGAAACCTGTCGTTCAGTGGCATGATGGGATTGAAAAGACAAGTAAGTTGCTTTGGATTTTACCAGGATCCTTTGGGGGTCAAATACTTTGTACTATTTAAAGTACAGTATTTATATAATAATCTGAGTTCAATCTGACCTTTCGTTGTTCAAGAGCCATGATCTTTTAGAGGAATAACGACAATGATCTTGATATGCGGAAAAGTACTGGCACTAGTTGTCAAATAGAAATCCATTTTGTGATTAAAACAACTCAATATCTCCTGTGATATACTTTATTTCGATTCCATATTTTTTGTCAGAGCTATAGTTCTCATAACCAAACATAATTACAAAATTTCAACTAGTTTCATAAAGAATAACGAAAGATATAATTGACTGAATACATCAAAATGGATTTCTATTCGGACAACCCTTTCTGAGCGCTGATTGGCTAGAATACGAACACGAGATCACCTGGTAAGTAATATTTGTTTTGATCGAACATCATAATTATCACCTGTAATAACCCTTGCCGCCCTGTTTTGAAGTTTTTGTAAATTTAATTTTAATGTTTCTGAACAATTAGTCCAAACAAGGGAGCAGTAGTCAAAATGAGGTAAAATAAGTGCATTATAAATCATTTTCAAAGTATTTCGGGAAGCATTCCTACACCCTTCGAACTTTTCTTACAGATGTTATGTATATTCTCTTTCCAGTTTAGCTTGTCATCTATAATGATTCCCAGACTTTTTGTTTTGTAAATGCGTTTTATATTATTATTTCCAATTGTAATAATTGGATCCGTTTGAACTTTAGTAAGGTTGTGCTTGGATCCTATTATCATGAATTCAGTTTTAGTTGCATTTATAGTGTTAATTTATTTGCTGTTAACCATGTATTTTTTGAATTTCAGTATTTAATTTCACACTAATTTGATCAACATTAGTAGCATTTACGGAAATATTTGTATCATCAGCAAAAATGCTTGGAATAGATTCATAAGACAGTTTGGCAGATCATAAATATAAATCAGAAATAAGAGTGGGCCAAGATTTGATCCTTGAGGTATCCCACATCGAACGTTCCTGATTGATGACTGACTTTGATTAATTTTACAAAATTGTTTCCTATCTTTCAAGTAGGATTCAAACCATGACAGAGAGATTGCTTTTGAAAGCCATAAAGTTTTAATTTCTCAATAAGAATATCATGATTTACAGTATCAAACGCCTTTTTTAAGTCAAGAAATAATACACCATTTATTAGGCCTTTGTCAATGTTACATAACCATTCATTTGTAACACTTAACAGTGCTGTCGATGTGGAATAACCTTTCCTAAATCCTGATTGATATTTTGTAAATAATTCATTGTCATCGAAATATTTACTGATTTGTTTATATAGAATTTTCTATATATAATGTGATATCTGAATATCTTCAAGCCAATCGTAGCTCTTTTATAGAAGCATCATGAACCAGTGCCTTGTTTTGTATACATCTTAAATTACGACAAATGGCGCGAAAATTTGCTTTCATCGCGCTTCTACCTCCTCCACAGGCCGTAACGAATTCCCTAATTTCGTACTTGAACCAGCCTCGTACCCAGGCGCTTAAAAGGAACGCAAATCGCGATTGCTGTTGTATATATAGATCAGTGGTTGATCCCATGGTGAGATAAGGAGCCTAAACCTTTGTAATTCAGCTTCGTATGTATTAGACAAAGCGAGGTACAAAACGACTAATTTTGAATTATTCCATTATTCCTGTCTAGTTGAATGGTACATTGATAATTTCCACAACTGGCCAGACGCAGAACGTTCCCTTACTCCATTTCCTATTGGTAGTAATACAATGTATTATCAGAAAGATGATGGAACAGTTCTTAAAGTTTCAAAAATGCCAAGATGTATTCCTTCGAATGATTCCTGCTAGCCTCTTCCTTATCAATTCATTCGCCATAATTACGTACAGGGAAAATCGACAAGCTTTCTTAGTTCTTATACGCAATCATGTTTACAATTTATGGCATAGCGTTGGTGATATGTCGAACTTATTTTTATAAGCTAGTTCAATTAACGCTGTCTTCTGATAATCAAATCTCAGAGCCGCAAAACCTCGACCTGTACTGTTTCTTTCTTAACGCTTCTTGTTCATCGCATTTTGTTCAACATAATTTCCATGCCGCTTAGAGGTGCGGTTTTGACTTTGAAAGAACAACTTTAATTGAGCTGTACATGCTATACACTCTTTTATCAATTACACTATGTCACTTAAGTTAAGTTAATGAGAACATGTTATCATATATATATTTTTCACAACCATACAGATTACTGCACATTTTAATTTATAATTACCTGTCCAATATCTATTTTAATTTCACCTGTATATTGTTATATTAACATTATTATATATTTCAATTATTAATTTTAAACCTTCTGTATATTGTGGAAATAAATAATGAATCCCAGAGGCATTGTCATCATTGTTGCTGTTTCAACAACTTGTTATCAGGATGTGTTCGCCCGTCCCAAGCTTGTTGAGAAGTTGTCAACGGTGTGTTGACAAATTGCTACATAGTTTGGCTTGTTGACAAATTGTTACAAGGTTGTTGACTGGACAGACATGTTACAAGTTGTTCTAAGAACTTGTTATCGTCCTGCAATCCAACAATTTGTTAACAAGTTGTAAGCGACAAGCTTCAGGGAACTTGATAAAATAACGACATTGTTACAACTTGTCAAGCTTGCTACAAGCCTTTTGGGATATTTTTACGAAAATGTGAGATTTTACGTGGTATAAATTTAGGTGGTAAATATACATTCGGTGTTATTAACAGACTTCCTTTTATTCTGGTCTGTTGCGGGTTATTTATTGGATCTGTTGTAGGTCTGTCACAATCGGTGATTGCGACCACAAATTGACACCTAATCTTATCGTACCCAGGCGCTTATATTAAGGAAATAAGCACTTCAAATAAACAAGCACTTCAGCGCGTGGGGACGCTTGGGGTGAACGAGGCGAACGCTGGTCAAAGTTTTTGATTTATTGGTAGAATTTTGAGTTAAGGGAGATTATTAAAAAAAAGGTCATCAAGTTTAGATTAGGATGAAGGTTATTATAATTGTAAACCCATTACAACCCAATACTGTATTGTATACCATAGCTTTACAACTACAATAGATTATTGGTTACAACGTGCGGAACGGCTGATCTATGCAGTGTTGCCTCTGGCTCTGAGATGAATCGGTAGCGCTTTTAGCAAAGGTACATGTCTAATGATTTTCCTTAAAAATTCCTGCGAAGTACCCCAATCAGTAACGCTTGGTACGTTTCATAGTTTGAATATTTCTAAGTCCATTTAACCGTTTACAGGTAAAGGGCTATTCCATTTAATATCCGTACCCCCCCCCCCCC